GGTTAGACATTCTCAGACAGTGAGCGTGTGAGGTCGATGATGTAAGCATCAGCTGTCTGTCCGATTAATCTACGCAGACTGTTCATGATGTAGGGTTTCACTTATGGCAATGCTTTCGGCATTCAGGTACGCTGGAATGAGCTCACTAAACGACGTCATTGCCTAATGTTGAAGGATCTGTTCTCCGCGTCAAAATGTCTATAACCATGGGGATGACTGCCTAGTCGAGGTAATGGTGTTATGTTTAGTGTTCTATCTACAGAGCTGTTTTTCTACGAGGAATCGTCCCAGTCGCCAAGTTGATACTGACTATTACACATATTCACAAGCTCCCAGCATTCACCGAGGAACCGATTCGGACCTTGATCTTCATGGCTACCGGCCGCGCCAGCAGCAAACAGAGTCGCCATGTAGTGGTCATCAGTTCCATGCGCCTCCTTATACCGCGGGTGTTTCATCAACCTGGTAACGGCTCTTCGCAAAGCAGGCCCCGTGTTCTGCGTAACAGCATCTTCCAGCGCCTGTCTGAACTCCAGAGCAAAGTCTCCAGGTGGCACGGGCTGCGCAAAGTTGTCTCGATAGGTGAGCATCTGATACCAATGGTTCCGATACAAGTTATGCACGGATCCGCCACTGCCTATTATGAGCGTGTCCTCGTATCGTAACGGTCGTAGAGCAGCTCCGATCTTTGTGTGTAGGTGCGGGTCGTATCGTGCGTTCATCGACACAATGGTAGTAGGGAGAGGGATGCAATGGGGAAACATGCGAATGACGATCAGGAAGGTATCGTGAACCCATTCGAACTTGGGGTCGGCTTGAGCGTTGATCCCAGCTCCTCGCAACATATCGATGACGCGTTGTCCTCCTTCGAGATCTGCCACCATTTTGTATGGCATGTATCGAGCTTCTGTGACACTGCCCACGGGGTCTTTCTTCGCGTCGGGGTTCATGCTCACTCGTACTGTATCGTAAGGAGAGTCCCAGTGAGCGCCCTAACTCATGTTAGCTCTTATCGTCTTCTCGCCAGGTTTTTCCAACGAACCATCATGACAATACGCTTGACTCCACGCCGTAGGCATTCGTTACCAATACCTTCCCAAATTCTAGCTGGCTCCGACTCTTCTCCCAGCATCATGGTAGATCCATGAGCAAACAAAAAGACCGGAGTCGGCTCTTGAGCGCTATTGTTAGACCCATTGCAGCTTTTCTGGCCTTGAATAAGACTCACTCTTTTTCTGAGCTGGTATGCTACCCATGATGGCTGTGAAGGTGCTTTCTCTGTTGATTTACTGTAGATTTCGAATCAAGACGTCGTGGCCGCTTCGGACTAATCTAATGGAATCGAATTTTATTTCTTATTTGTCCGAATCCCCGAAACATCCGTATATTTGTTATTACATGGAAGACCTATAGAGAAACGGTTCGGAATATGTTACACTGCGGACTACGATACGACTCTAGTGTTCAGTCCCGTGTGGAGCCGAGCCGAAGCCCCTGTATCAGAACGGAAGCCTCGGTCATGATTCTACCGAAACACGTCGACGTCGCGTAGACTAAATGTGTTTATTTTTATATTGGAATTTACTTGAAGAGCTGCCAATTGAGCTGTCAAGAGCTTTATCAACAAGAATCGGACAAGCGCTGTAACAATGGCCTCAGCATTGGATCAATATCGTACCGTCAGTGCAGCATGGGCGGAGGGTCGACTCGAGAATGTGCTACAGCGACAGAAAGAGCTTGCTTTGCTACATGCCAACATCAAAAGCTCCTCTACGAATGTGATCAAGGCCATATGCGATGGTGAGCGCTTCTAATACATACTTTGCGGGTAGGTTGGTAGACTAACAAATTTGCGACAGATCTCCAAACCTCGAAAGCAAGCGCAGCTGATGAACTCCAATTGGCCCTCGATTCGATCAAACGTCTCTACGACGACCTAGACTTTCCGATTACATTGGCCAAGGAGAAGCAGGTCAAGAAGGGGGCCAGCTCATCCAGCAACTTGATACCTCTGGGTCCCGTTCTTATTGATCCCTCTCCCTACTCGCCGTTTCTCAGCGTAATTGCGCCGCTTGCTGCTGCTGTCGCGACGGGAAGCACCGCTATTGTATTAGCCACCTCGGCGTTCGATAACCTCAATACCGAGCTTCGCACCTTGATCAACAAGAGTTTGGACGTCGAAGCTTTTGCTATAACAGAGAGTGGCTCAGCCGATATACGTCGACAGCTCAGCAAACAGCACTTTGGCGCTGCTGCCCTTCAGAACTTGTTTCTGCGTGACGACCTCTTCGCGTCTCTTTACAAGACGAATCCATTGATCAGAGTTCTTTCACCGCCCTCTGGAATCCCAGCTGCATTTGTTGATCGCTCTGTTCAAGATCTGGAAGCTGTCGCGAGTCACCTTCTTGCCTCAGGCTACCGAACATCTCGTCATAATCCTTTGCGAACGCCGCGTCTTGTTTTTGTCGACGAAATACACATTTTGCAGCTTTGCAAGCTCATACGTGCAGGCGCTGGTGCGGATGCATCACTGTTCTTCGGCAACGACGGAGACGAAGCTCAGGCTCTCGATAAGTTTCTTACATCCAAATTTCCGAACTCGAAACGGAACTTGCCCAAACATGTATCCGGTCGTCTGCCTGCTGTCATCGTATTAGACAATTCCGAGTATGTCTTTCGTTGAAATTCTACGTATTGTATATGACTAACTCTTTATCAGTGCCATTGTAGCCGAACACGTCCAAAAGGCTGCGGAATTGCTTGCACACAGCGACAACGGTCTTCTACTGGTTCCAATACGAAGTTTGGACCATGGCATCGATATTGCCGGCAAGATGTATGTCTTGGAGTGATCGACAATGTCTGTGATTATGAACTAACAAATTGATACCAGTAACGGAAACAACCCTTCTCAGGCAACGTATATCTTTGCATCCTCTGAGGCTTCTTCCTACGTCGCCATGTTCACGAACACACTTCAGGTGTTCATTAATACCATACCTCAATGGTCACTAGGTAAGATCTGAGACGAACCTGATGGCGCATGCCGCTAATGTCTGATTCGTACAGCCACTGTTGCGCCCTCAACTCCTTTTGTTGAGAGTCGTTTGCTGTACTGCAGAGAAGACTTTTCTGTCAACAAACCAATCTTGCAGGAGTCGGTCCACCATGTTGATTCCTTCAGTGCAGAAAAACAGTCTGCTTGGTCACTCGTGTCTCATCACTTGCAACTGGGTAAGATCAAACAGCATAAAGGTGGAAGACTCAGCTATTTTGAGCGAGGTTTGCTGGTCGGACTGGCTTTATCGTTAATTGCTGTTTCGGGTACGGGAATTGGCATTTATCGAGGTATTCTACATTTTGGCAAGCGGTCTTGATTTGACAAGGGAGGTTGGTCCGTGGCATTTTTTCAATCAACATCATGTGTTCATCCCGTGCAGATCTTGAACCACTGAGTGAAAGACTCTTCACTGTGCAATGAATAAACGAATAAAGAAACATCCGGATTCTTTACTTAGTGCTCTACATAATTGATAAGTCTTCTCGTGCCAGTAGGGTTTCGTGGCTGTCTGAAGGCAAGAATAAACTAGACTGCTGTAGGGTGAGCGTCCACGTTACTCCATTGCATGACCATCCAACCCCGAAGATTTTCTCCACTAGCGGAAATCTTCCGTCACGGAATCAGCACCACTTCAACAGCCCCACACAACTGTACCGCATGAAAGCTGGATGATTGAGTTTCAAAGACTCCATATGCCTATTTGACACGTTTGCATCCACGAGAAAGCCTCAAGCTACTTTTGGCCCCAAGTCCCGTAAGCGCGCATTGTTGCGTCTGCATCATCTCTTCAAATGTTTCCCGGTGTACTCCGTCTGAGTCCAAGAGCTCCACAAGGCGACGTTACAGCATGCACCCTGCTAATGGGCTGAGCTCGTGGGGCCGCGTGGGCGAGCCGGTCACCAGAGCTTGCTTTATGTTACGACGCGCCGGGATCACAGCGCTACGCTTTTAACCTGAGAATTATCGTGATTCGGCCTCTTATACTACTTGTTTACCGCGCCACTTATAAGGAAGATCAACAAGCGCTATTCACAGAACCTCAGTTTCAGCACCATGGGTCTCAACGCTGGCAGTTCTCTGAGAAGGGTCGTTACCCACCACAAGGACGAGAACTCTGCAATCCTATCAGATGAAGAGCTCAAACTCGTCTCTGGTTTTGGAAGCAACGCCGTCACCATCTGGAGAAACGACAAGTACCCAGCTGAGCTGGTTGACAAAGATCCAGTTGGCACTGATCCAGTAATCTATACGCCCGGCTCACTTATTCGAGTCGTCGACTTTCCGCCCAATTCCTCAGGACACAATCATAGAACTGCATCGCTTGACTATGGAATTGTGTTTGAGGGTGAGCTAGAGATGGTGTTGGCAGATGGTTCTAAGACTATTGTTCGTGCAGGCGATATCATTGTGCAACAGGCGGTAAGTAATGTACCTCCAGTTTATTTGAGAAGATGCTGACATAGTAAATCTGCAAGACGCTGCATCAGTGGAACAATTTGACGGATAGGCCAGCGCGTCTCATCTTTGTGTTGCTCCCATCTGAGAAAACTGTCAATGGCGTCAACGTATCAGAGACTGGCGTGCCTGAGAAATATCTCCCGAAGATATCATAGAGAATTAGATCATGCACGTAGCTAGAAATTTTCAGTTAACATAGATATAACCCATCTTATAGGAGAGGAGATCTTAGAAAATTAAGAACATTCACAATTACATCAATAGTAGCTTTAAGGTAGCCTTCCAATTGCTACTCAACTCAACATCAAGCTAGGTTTCTTTATCTACATTACTGACTGTTCTATTGCATACTCAGTCTGAGCTTATTTTTCATTTAATCGGTTGAATTCTCTACAATTCTTGCAGTTTGCAGGGAACGTCAAGCCTCATGGCTTTATAAATCTGAGATTTTCAAGCTAACGGTACGAGACATATCTATAGACTACTGAGGGTTCTTTTCAATGACACGAGTAACAAGGTCACTAGTGAACTCTTTATTAGTATTTTTCTCCTTGAAGCTCAAGTTTAGTTTCAACTTACGTGTCCATGTATGCCCTCACAGTTGCGATCTTGCCGCTATCATTGAAGCCCAGTACCCAGGTATATTCATTGGGAAAAGGATCGCCGCTCTTAGTCTCGGTATTAACGGCCTTGAGCTCCACTGCAGCTTGATTGCCCTCGATGATGATGTTCTGAACGACGAGATGAAGGGGACCTGCCCAGGTAGATGACAAAGCCCTTGTTCCCTGTTGGAACTCCTCAATGGACCTGTAGCGGCCAGAAACCTTGCAGTGGGTACCTGTAATATTGTGAGCAAGAATTGAACAGAAGTTATGACATTGGGGGGCTGTACCCTTTACGGTCCAGTCGACATTGGGTTCGACGTGGGGCCAGAAGCTGGCCATATCGCCTTTGCTAGGGCCTGCGAAGATATTTCGGACGTGCTCGTGGGTAACCATCTTGTCAGTTTTAGTAGCGATCAACTGGAGATTGAGTGTGAAACAGGATGGAATGTGCTTGTTTCGCCAGAGAGACAACTGTTTCTACGGTATCCTGATTTTTAACATGTTTCCAATGTGGGGTTGGCGATACAGCCCCTAACGTTGCAATGGAATTATGCTCTTAATTCCGCTTTCTCGGTCATGGGGTTCGCTTTTCCAAGAGTTGTCATGGCCGTGTGGAGAGGGCCCAAAAACACAGAGTGAGTCCGGGTTCCCCGCGTTGTGGCGTCCAACGTGGGGAAGTTCCCATCCGTGGAGCCGAGATGGAGCTGTGAGATGTTTGCTCTACGGGAGGAGTCTCGGGGGCTTCTTTCCGAGCTGACTAGGAGGAAAAGAGCGACTGGTGCAGATGGTAATGGATGATGGCTTGGGAAATGATGCTAACAGTTGTGATGGGTGTCTAGAAGAGGGAAAGGAGTCGGCTACGGTCTAAGCGTCAGCAGGTTTAGTCTTAGAATAATTTCAGCTTATAACGATGGTCTCCCAGTTTGCCCTAAAGGGGAAAATTTGGTCTTTGAACAAATCTGATATCTCCGGTCACTGTGAATATGCCTCTCAAAGTTATAATTGCTGGTGCAGGTTTGGGCGGCCTGGGTGCCGCTATCGCCATGGCCCGCGCTGGCCATAACGTAGAGGTACAGTTTTGTAGCCTGTGTTTTCACGGCCCATTGGAAACTCACACAATTAGGTTTTCGAACAGTCACGATTCCTTAACGAGATCGGTGCCGCGATTCACATTGCACCCAATGCAACCAGGGTGCTCAAGTCCTGGGACATCGACTTTGCCGAGCTACAAGCCGTCCTATGCAACGCCATCAAGGTCTATGACCATACGGGAAAGCTGATATTCGTTCCCGTGGTAAGTTGTTATGAGGAAATTGTCTTTACGTTTATGCTAACGGTTTGATCTTTATGAAGAAACTGGAAGAATTGCAAAAGAGTATCGGCACCAAGGATGAATGGCTCCTCACACATCGAGTTGATCTGCACAGTACTTTGCGAAAGGCTGCCACGGAAAATACATTCGCAGGTAGCATCAAAATTCACACCGCGAGCAAGGTTGTCAAAGCAGTATGTACATGCTTGAGGATGCTAGAGACTGTTTCAGTTCGACTGACTGATAATCTCAAGGACGCAGAGACAGCAGAGATTACTTTAGCAGACGGTGTCAAACACAAAGGAGACCTGTTGATTGGAGCAGACGGCGTCCATGTGAGCTTAGGATTAGCTATGACCGTCAAGAACTGGACTAATGCTGTTACAGTCCAAAGTTGTTTCCGCCGTCGCGGGCAGACCGCCTGTGCGTATTAGTACGAAACAAAACACATTCCGATTCCTGGTACCCATCGACAAGCTCATGGCCAACCCCATTACTGGACCATTTTTCGGAAAGCTTGGTTTTGACTGCCAACATGTCTTTACCACAAGGGATCGCAGAATGGTGGTCTACCCATGCCGAAACGGCAAACTGCTCAACATCGTTGCTATGCATCCGGCTGAGGATGCCGGTCTCGATTCTGAATCCTCGTGGCTCGCCGGGGGGAGAGTGGAAGATTTACTTGACGTCTATAAAGATTTCGGGCCTGAGCTTATTGAGATGTGCAGGATTGGCGAAGACCTGAAGCTGTGGAGCTTGGCCACCAGAGATCCCCCTACCAAGTTCTACAAGGGCAGAACTGTCCTGCTGGGTGATGCAGCTCATCCTATGCTCCCTCGTGCGTTTATTCATACCTACCATCATGAAGAGGAACTAACAATGATTCAGACCAAGGGCAAGGTGGAGCGCAATCGTTCGAGGATGCCGCAGCTCTCGGGGTCTTGTTTCCTGCCGACACGACATTGGACGATGTACCTAAGCGACTGGAACTTTACAACAAGCTCCGCTATCCGCGGTCTGTGACTGTCATGTTCATGTCAAAGATCAATGATGAGAGGCGTGGCGAGATGATGGACGATCTTCGCAAATTTGTCCCCGATGCGGAACTGCCTCCCAATATCTTCCCCTATTTGTGGAATAACTTTGTGCTTGACGATGCGCAAAAGGCTCTTGCGGCAGCGGCTTGATCATGAGTGGTGTTCGGGTAGCAAGGAAAAGGTCCATAGCAAACTGAATCAATAGTGTCATTCGCATGATTGTATAGTCTTTAGTTTTATGCAATGATTATAAACCCTCAAGCCTGTCTAACAAAGGTCTTAACTGCAAGATTGTATTGTTGCATAGTCCATCAACATCGCTACGTATCATCCACTCCCATTTGCGGCATTTACGAAGACGGACAATCGTTATGTCGCCACATGTTCTCTTAAAACGACAACTACAGTATGTTGCGATATACGTCACTACCAGTGAAGTCCCAAACCCAAAAAGGCTCTCATTAGAAACGATGGAAGACGACCCGCTGCTTACAAATGCCGGGTGTGCGGCGGACCATTATGGTTGATATCGGAGCCGACCCCACCGGACCGGAACGTCATAGCACACGCAAAGCCTCCAGGGAGACGGTGTGGAATTTCCATGGCCTTGTGGGCGCTAAGACAGTTGATAATCGAGTGGTTGACAACGCATACTTATCACGCAAGATGTACTAAGGCATACAGTCAGTGTTGTATTCAATTTTCATCGTCTATACTTCCAAACGTCTAGATCTTGATCTTCATACGATTATCGCTTGCAATGACAGTTACAGCGCAGCAACTTGACGAGACTTTGTCATCTGCCAATTTGGCCAAGGACAAGTTCACACCCATTGACCACTCCAACATCCCATTTGAGGAGGAAGAATGGCCCGTCATAATAATTGGTTCTAGCATGGTTGGAAAGACACTTGGTCTTCTCCTTGGTTATCATGGGTAGGCTATAACACTTGACGGCCCACATACCGGAAGGATACGAGCTAATACCGATTTCAGCATCAAGTCAGTCTCGTTTGATCGTCATTCCAAAGCCGGTGCTCATCCGCGAGCCGCAGGCATCAACTTTCGCACCAGCGAGATCCTCCGCCAATTGGGCTTAGAAGAGTTCACTCTGGAGCAGAGCGGTAAAGAGTTCGATCTCAACGCCGGTATGCTGATTGTCGAAAAGCTTGTGGGCGGAAAAGTTATCAAACACCTTCAAGAGCATGATCCTGTGCACGTCAGAAGCTTTACTCCCTCCAACTGGGTGTGGATATCGCAGAGAATGTTTGAACCAATTCTGGGCCAGAATGCCGAAAAGTTCAACAGTGAACAGCGTCATGGCCACCAAGTCCTTCTTTACGAGGAACATGACGATGATGTTATCGTCGTCGTCAAGGATCTGACCACTGGCGATATCAAGAAGTACAAGACGCCGTATGTGGTTGCATGCGATGGCAATAGAAGCCCAACCCGTCAAAACGAGGGTATCAGCTGGGATGGGCCAGGTATTCTTCGAAACAGTCTTGGGGTCAGCTTCAAGTCAGATTTAAGTCCCTTTATCGGGAAGAGAATGGTCCACGGAGTGGTCTATGTGGCGAATAAAGACATCGGAGGAGGTTTCAGACTGGAGAACGAGGGGAAGCAAGGCATTATCATGGTTAACAATGTTGGTTCCAAGACCAGCTTCGAGCCTGGGACCGTTACAGCGGAAGATGCCAAACAATACTTTTATCAGCTGTCTGGCTTGACTTCTGACCAGGTGGATCCGCAAATCGTGTCGATGAATTACTGGACTATGGCAGCATATACCGCTGGACGCTTTGAGAGCAAGGGTGGCCGTGTCTTCCTTGCCGGAGACGCCGCGCATACTATGCCGCCCACTGGAGGCTTGGGAGGGAATACCGGAATAGCTGTTAGTTGGCCTGCTCATTTCTTGCATACATTGCTAACATCAACTGCTATAGGATGCTCATAATCTTGCATGGAAGTTGGCATATGTCTTATCCGGAAAGGCAGCCCATTCACTACTTGCAACGTACAACATCGAGCGACAACCCATCGACGAGTTTACTGTTAATCAGGCATATAATCGATTCCAAAACAGGATTGTCATGCAGCAGCCTCCAGCTTCAGAGGCCCCAGATGAATCTATTGAGCTGGGCTTCAGGTATCCTCGGGGCGGAGCATTTGTCCCAGAGGAAAAGTACCCGACTCCCAAGGAGCTCTATGACGATCCGGCTTTACCCTCAGCAGTCCCTGGTTCTCGATTCCCTCACTCCTACCTCGAATATGAGAGTTCATCTGGTAAAACTATCTCGACAATCGACTTGGTAAAGAGAAACCTTGTTCTCGTCACGATAGACCCAGACTCCCCTTGGATTACCGCCGCCGGCAAAGCGCCAATTGAGATTGATGCTTATACTTTGAACGCCACATCATCCCCGTATAGAGACACGAATGGCGATGTTGAGAAGAAATGTCGTCTGAAGCCGGGCGAGGCGATCTTGGTGCGGCCTGATGGCTTCATCGCTTGGCGAGGCACGAAGACTGATGGTGGACATGACAAGCAGTTGAAGGATGGAATCAATGCAGTTCTGGGAAAGTGAACTGATCTTAGTGGGAGGACTAGCATATGCCATAGACACAGCTTTTTGTAACGCAGTCAGATCATAATTTAAACAGTATTCCTATGAAAAAGTCTCAGAGTCGCCCTCTACGTTTGTGCTACTAGGAGGAGAGCTGTTACATTACAGATCGTGAAATAGCCTTTTATGCGACGGTTCACAATTGAATGGTTCATCGTATTCTTGGGTTTAACATGTATATGGCTTATCTACTTAAGCCTTTCTTACTCTAAACATCATATAAATAGGCGCCACATTGGCCCAATAAAGCTCTCCATGGGCACACATGCTAATTCAAGTGATCATCAACGAATACACTTTTCAGCTTCGTGGGCTGCACCGCAAAATGCTGGGTTGGGTAAAGCTTCAAACAAGCACGGTGATTTCCATTCAGGCCTAGAACACCCACATCGACTCATTTGCTCGGGCGCTTTCTCG